ACTGGGAGATTAACAATGGTTAATATATTGTGTATGGTTATCTTCAAAGTGGTTGCAGATTACAAGATATAGGCATGAAAAATTAAGCAGTGAAAACACAATCCATTATTTTTGATGAACTAACAGAGTTTAGTAATTATCATACACATATATATACACACACACATTTATAGCCTTTTCCTTTCTGTCTTTTCTCCTTGCTCCGAACTCAGTTGCTCTTGTGTTTTGAGCAGTTTCTTCCCTTTTCATTTTCACAGTAAGTGTTGTACATTTGGGGTTCTTAGTTACTCTTTCAGTTTTTTTACACTAGAGAGCCAATACGATATTTACACAAAACTCTGGTTTATTTTGCCTGTGAGTATGGTCTCAAATTGCATTTATTTACCTATAAAAGCCTTAAGTTTATCCTTCTTTATAACTGAGGAGTACTCCATTGTATAAAAATAACACATCTTTTTTTTTTTCTGGTACAGAGGATTGAACTCATGATTTAGCACCTGCCAGGCAGGCAGTTACACCACTGAGCTAAATCCCCAACCCCGCCACATCTTTTTTATGCATTCCATGGTTGATGTGCATTTGGGGTGTTTCCAAGATTTAGCGATTATAAATTATGCTGCTATATATATGGGTGCACATATTTCACTGTGGTATGATGTTTTCAGTTCTTCTGGGAAAATACCCAGAAAGGGAATAGATTGAATAGGACCTCCAATCCTAGTTTTTTGAGGAATATTCACGCTGATCTCCACAGTGACTGTACCAGTCTACACTCCCACCAACAGGTGGAGAAGGGTCCTTTTTCCCCACAGCCCCACCAGCATTTGTTATTGGTTGATTTCTTGATGACAGCCATACTTTCTAGAGCGAGATGGAATCTCAGTGTGGTTTTAATTTGCATTTCTCAAATGACCAGTGATGTTAAACATATTTTCATATATTTATTTGCCATTTGTATTTTTTCATCTGAGAAGTTCATATTCATCTCAGATGCCCATTTTTGAATTGGATCTTTGAATATGGGGGACCTGATTCTTTTAATTCTTTACATATTCTAGGTAGAAGTCCTTTGTGTGAGGGACAGTTGCCTAAAAATTTTCCCCATTCTGTGGATTTTCTTTTCACTCTGTTGGTGATTTTTCTTTCTTTCTTTCTTTCTTTTTTTTGTACCGGGTACTGAACTCATGACCTAGTGCTTGCCAGGCAGGCACTTATACCGCTGAGCTAACTCCCCAGCCCCGCATTGGTGATTTTTAAAAGCCACTTTTGCTATGAACCATGACTCTTCACTTGGGCCAACAGATGCCCAGTAGGTAACTCAAAGCACAACAAAGACTTTCACTTTATATCCTTTGTTATTTTTAATCTTGGGTCAATTCTTTCTCTGCTCTGTACTGGGGTACATTGATATTTAGGGAATGTGTGTCTAAGAGCTAGCTAGAGAGGTTTAAGTAACCCTAATTTTACAGTATCTCATCCTCTTCAAGACTGAGGACCCCACAATAAGAGGTTAATAGGGACACTGAGATTACAGCCATTGTTCCAAATCCATTGATCACAGGTTTAGATTCCGGGAAAGGAAGAGCCACACACAACTGAGACCCCACAAACAGGGTCAGTTTCTTTCCAGAAAAGAAACTCAGCCATAGGGATTCTAGAACCGTGACATGGGACTGAGCTAATCATCGAGTGGATCCAGCTCATAGCTAATCCTTAAAAGCTGGCCTCCCACTTTTTCAGGCAGGCCATTGTGAAGCTCTCTATAAGAGTGTGTCCTCTCCAGTTACCTAAGCTATCTTCCCTCTAATTTCCTATTAAAGCATTTTTTCCTTAGATTTGTGCTTTAGTTTTAATTATCATCATCACTAAAAGCAAGAACCCATACTAGTCAACCAGGATTATAAACTTTAACTGAATTCCTGTTTTCACAGTATACAGTGGTGATGGCAGACAGAAGGTGCTTGCCATTATGGATAAACTGATTGCCCTAAGCTCAAGTCAGCATATAAGGATCTTCTTATGACTTTATTTATTTCATCCCAATAACTATACAGGGTACCTACTATGCATAATCACTGAACTGAGTGTTGAAAGAATTGATAAAATTGTAAGACATGGACATTTCTGATTCCAAAGATACAACTCTAAAGCAGAAAACAGAGTAGATGATGCCAGCCAACATGTTATATGCTAAATGCAGAGTGAGAATAGCTGGTAGAGAGATTCAGAAGTAAGGAGTCTACCATAGAAGTGGGAGTCTAACTAAGAATTCAAAACCGAGAGCAGCAGGGGTTAGGTTCCTAGACTGCGCAGCTGGTGTATCAGGCACAGAAGCATGAGCTACGTTCCTAGCACAAGCAAGGGACCAATATGGCTGGAGGGTGAGCAAGGGAGAAATTCCTTCAGAAAGGTGGTCTGGGGCCATCTTGTGAAGAGCTTCATGTGTAGACATTACATTGATGTCTAAACTGTGGCCAGTGGAGAGTCAAGAGATTGATTGGTAGTTTTTAATTTTAATGATGATTAAAAAAATTTTCCATCTAAGAAGAAAAAGAATTATGACAAATATATAGGCCCACTTAAGGAATCAGAATCCTTGAAATCAGGGCTCAGGCAGATGTTTAGAGAAAAAATTTCCAGGTGATTCTGACACAGAGCAAAAGTCAAAAACTACTGACAGCCCAAAACCCTGAATTACGTTATTCCTTCTATAGTGTGGGACCAGAAGAAAGGAAGGGATTTGTTGAGGGCCCACCCACACCAGGTGACTTTTAGATATGACTTCACTTACGCTTAACAACAACATTATTAACATTATTATTTTCATTTTAGATACAATGAAGTTATTACAGATTAGATCTAGAATGTCCCCCAAAGGTCCATGTGTAATGGCTTGGCTCTCAATGTGGCTTTATTGGGAAATGTGTTCTAGTGGAATGTCATCTGTCATTGGGGGTAGATCCCTGAAGGAGACAATGGCGCTTCCTCTTCCTTCATTTTTCCAATGCTGGCCAATGAGGTGAACAATTATCTGTGTCATATGCTCCCCACCATTAGATGATGCCTGGCCACAGGCCCAAAAGCAGTGGGGTTGCAAATCAGCTATGGACTAAAGCCTGTAAAACAGTGAGCCAGAATAAACCTCCTACGAATATAAATTATCTCGGATGTTTTTTACAAAGAGGAAAGGTTGACTAACCCAGAAGCTGATACTGAGGATCTGAACCCAGTTGGAGGACCCAGGCTCAGCACCACAGCATTTCTGATCCAAACAGTCCTCCCACAAACGTCTGTGTGGTCTTCCCTTGAAACTCACCACAGCTCGAACTCAATAACAAATGTGTTATGGAAAATGTTCTCTCCTCCCACCCTCTTTCCTCTCCTCTACTGACATCTAAATTTTATCTTCCTCTTCCCCTGAAACTTGGCTAAAACTACCAAGGGCTTAATTTTGTGCCTTGCTTTTTAAAGCAAGATAAAAATTTGCATAACTTTCTCTTTCTACTATTCTTTCTTTATGACTTCTCCAGATAGACCCTACTCAGTTTGAAATATTCAGAGCAGAACACAGAATAAAATCTAAAATATTAAAAAGTGACTTTCACGATTTTCTTTTTACCCTAAGACTATCGGGGACTGTCTACATTAGCTTTCACACAACATCCAAAGGAAATGATGCTGAGGCTCCGTTTGATTTTCTCAAATGTCTGCTAGCGAGCATTGAGAAGTCGTTTATGTCATTTTAAACAAGTTCCTCATTCTGCTTTCAGGAGGTTTTCTCTGTGGTAGAATTTTAGCCATTGTACATGTGTATGAGTCTCTGTGTGTCTACAAGAGAAACTTAACATCTGTTCTTAAGTCAGAGCTGCATTTTACACAGATGTGTAAAATTCTCACTTTATATGTATCCTTCTATTTTTTGTCCCAAAATGTTACATTTTTCAGATGAAATGCTTTACTTTTTTTATTTATTCAATCACACAATACAAGGAGAAATTTACGTCCTTCTGTAAACTTTCTTTATTCCTCCTCCACTGATCATTAGACCATCCGTGTTCTTCCCATTCTTCACTGGAACCCTGAATAAAGCTCACCACCCCCCGCTTTCAGGCTTCACATGCTCTTCAACTGGAACTGAATTGTCCACATCACTTGAGTGTTGTGTCTGAAAACTGAGAATCAGGCCCATGTGAATGAGTCTATTACTCTGCCTAACTGGGCCTGCGCTTGATTGCTAAGCCAAAGGGTCACACATAACATCCATATGGCTAAAGATCCACCTTGTCAAGGAACACATTCTTCTCACCAAGAATTAATTTCATGTTAGGAAGCCTTGATTACTGTGTGTGTGTGTGTGTGTGTGTGTGTGTGTGTGTGTGTGTGTGTTGACTGGAAATTGAAACCAGGGGCTTCATATTGAGCTACATTCCCAGAGCTTTTTCATTTTTTATTTTGAGACACGAAGTTATGAAATTCCCTGAGATGTGCTGCCTCAACCTCTCACTGCTGAGTATTATAGGTATGCACCACAACACCTACCTTGATAATGGTTTGAATACTTGCACGGTCACTGTGTACAAATGTACAGCTCTGTGACACAAAGCCCAAGGGCATTAGTCACCTAGAATGCAGTGGTGTTGAACTGCACACATTATGTTCAACTTTCCATAGATGTCCCTTAGCAGGAAACTATTTTTCCCTTACTGTAAATAGTTTTCTTCATCCCAAATGAATTTTTTGTGTGCCAGAACATTGTGATCAAGTTGGTAGATATTTAAAAAATCAGTGCTAGAGGTTGTCCATGTATTTTCCTGTTCTTTAAACTTTGTTTAATTTTAGAATGTTTTATTATAGCTTAAAAAGAATTTTACTTTAAAAATCAAAAAAGCCATTGAAATGACTTGCGAGATGAAAGGTAGTGTTATTACTCAGTAAATGAAAGTGAGTCAGAAAAGGAATCATTGGTGACAGGCAAAACAGTCATCACAACCAAAAAGAACTAAACTAAGTCATATTTATTTCAAAACACAAGACTGGCTCCATATTAATAAATATTTTACATTGAGTATAGACAAAATATTGTGCATATGCCATAAAGCCAATGTGCTCAACCATCAGAGAATACCTTAGCCATTGACAGAATAAGCTGGGACTAGAGACAAGTTCAGGAGTGGTGCAAGGGAGATCAGGAAGGGCAGGAGAGGAACTGGTAAAACCAGGGAGAAAATTCTGCTTGCCTTTTAATGGTGCCATAAAATTAAAAATCTAGAGTTGGAAAAATTATACCTTCATGCATGCTCTTGACTTTACAGGGACTGTCATTCTTAATTTTGTGAGACATGATTAGTTAGTGGCTGGGTGGAAAATTGTGTGTTTCCAATTTTAATCTAGGACAGGTTTCTCTAATTCTGAGGCCTGAAGCTGAATGAGAGCTGCTACTATCTGTGCTTTAAACTCAGATAGAAGCACAGGATCGTGACCTGCAGCATTCATTGTGACACTATCAACATTTATCACCTCAAAGCTCTCTGTAGATCTGAGTCCATCCAGCATTGGTACTTACAAGCCTATCCTGGCCAGGGACATGGCTCAGCAGCAAAGCACCTGCCTGGCAAGAGCAAGGTGGTGAGTTCAATCCCCAGTACCAAAAAAAGGAAAGAAAACTTATAAGCCAATCATTTAACTCTGGGCTTTGGGCTGCTTCAAGGCCTATAAGTAACCTTCAGCTACTCCTGGCTCTCTGAGGTCATTCTTTCCAAAGTGAAAAGCAATGGAAGGTATAACGCTGGAAACCACCCCTGCTCTCAGGAAGTGTCTGTGCAGGAGAGTGGATTAGAAAGACTGTGCCCCCTCCATTCCGCTGTGTGAGCCCAGGCCAGAAACAATGCAACCAAACAGAACAGAAGAGGCTCGTATGCAGGGCTCCTGGTATAGACTGGCAACAGCTCCAAGGGAGGCACTGTCTAGGCTGTGGCACATCTGAGGTCATCTGAGGGCCAAGACTTAGACAAAGCAGGACAATGAGAAACACTTTCACTTGCATGGATATTAGGGTCCTAGAGTACTTTGGTGTTCAGCTAAGCAGGACCTCCTTCACTTTCCAAAAGAGGCCTCAAGTCCTGAAAAGGCTAAGCAGCCTATGTGGATCACACAACTTGTTTCAAGGTTTGGGGGCACAAAGAGTCAGAAAGGTTGCATTGAGCAAGGCCGTGCACATGGACACTGTGCTCTGCGTGATTAGCTACATGCAGGCAAAACTTCCCACCCTGGGCCCCAGGACAAATCATCGCAGAAGTGGACAGGTCCTGGACTGAGCTTATCCATGAGCTTCCTTGAGGAGGGGATGAGGACCTGCAGGTTTGTCCTCACTTCCCAGTCCGTGAGGCCACCTGGATGGCTTTGATCCACTCAGTACGCTCCTTAGGGGTAGCAGCTTGCAAGAAGTAATGAACTTCATCAGCCGTAATGATCTCGAAAAGGTTCTCTTCATCACTCTTCTTGCCTGGTGAAAGAGAAAGGCGGTGGCAGTCAGCTGACCTGCCCTCCTTCTGCATGAAACACCTAGTTTAATTTGTTTTCTTTTCTTTTTTGGTGTCCTAAGGTACTAAATGTGGTTTCCAAACATATAGATATTGTATAACTATGTATATTCATTGCATGAGTATATAGGTGAGGACTTTGCATGACTATATATATATGCATATATATATAAAGAAATAAATAAAATACTCCAGGAGGAGCATTTTCTTTCATAGCTGATAATTACATTAAGTTCCTCACCTTTGCTCACCAATAGTATTTAATGAGTAACTTCTAACAATGCTGAATGAGTAGATTTCTTCTGTTCATAACCCAAACCAAGGACTGACCCTAATTTATAGGCAAGAGGATCACAAGTATGAACCAAGCCTAGGCAACTTAGCAACTCTGTGAGACTCTGATTCAAAATTTAAAAAATAAATGAAAAATGGGCGTGGCATGAAACTCTGTTAAAAAAGAAAAAACTTGGGTTCAATCTCCAATACCACAGAAAAATAAACCAATAAACAAACCTAATACCACTGCCATAAGTATAGTCTTAAACCAGTTTTTATCAATGGCCAGTGTAGAGCTCCCACTGAAAGACTAAAAGTCAATAAACTAACTGGTACTGTGATAAGACTTCAAATGGAAAAACTTCCTACGTCAAAACTAGAACACCACTCAAGGAGGTGGGGTGGAAGAGACAGAGGCAGTGAAAATCTGGGCCTTTACAGCTGCTGAGTTTCTTTCCATCCCTTTACAACACTATCAGCCCCAAATGGCAAAATGAAAAAGGATCACACTTCCCAGTGAGTCCATTTGTCTGGAGAAATCCGTCTATTGCCACATGGTTATTCTGTGTGTCATCACAAGCTCATAATCTGGAAAGAATGGGAGCTCTTCCCATGTAGCCCCTCATCTTCTGAGAAACCAGGGCCCAAGCGGCAAGCTGGTTTACTGTGGGTCAGGTGACAGACTGGCTGCCACGGGCCCACCCAGAACCTGATGCTGGTTCCACACACCACACTGCCTCACTGCACAAATGCTCCTTCTACTGGGAAGAATATCCTGGTCTGAATAAGTAGAAGATCTCCTTTCAGAGTGTCACAGTGTCAGGAGCTAACAACCTCTCCATCTAAACCAGTTCTGAAGGGATGTGTTTTCTCAGCACTGCTTAAGGACCTTCTGGCATCCACAACGTCACTCTAATTCCTCAAAGCCTTAGAGGGAAGGAAGGATCAGCTCTTAGGAGAGAATACAAGGAGTTCTTCTCTACAAGGTTTGTAGACAGAATATTCATGCAAGATTATCCCTGACTAGGGGGCTGGGGATTTAGCTCAGCGGCATAAGCGCCTGCCTTGCAAGCAGGCAGTCGTGAGTTCGATCCCTGGTACCGATAAAAACGAAAAAGAATTGGTTGATGTTGGTTCAGTATGCATAGGTATGGGGAGGCAGTCTAAGTAGGCACAGTTCTATCCCATTGAAATTTATTCTTACCCTCTGGGCTGCTCTCCACTGAGGTCACCACACACCCTCGCAAGTGAACTGCTCCCAGGGGGTCTTCTCCCTAGAAGAGAAAGGGGTTGTCTGTTATGTTTCCAAAGTGTATATGAATATACCTTGTTTTACTTCTACAAAAGCAATCACTCTGATACATATCATGCTCCCCTATAAAGAAGGGCAGAAGGAGCTTAAAGAAAACCTATTCCAGATCTTCCACTCCAGTTCACTAAAGCCAAGGAGCTTGCATGAGTGTACACAAATCAATCTGGACTTCCAATCTGGCAGAACATGAAGTAGCAACTGCACCTGTCCCATTCCACCAGGGAAGAGCTGCCTGTTCTAGCAGTAGTGTCAGAATATAACCCTCCCAGGAGCAAATCAGAGAGCCCTGCATTGAAGCAGAGACCAAGTACTCAATCCTGCAAAAGCTGTCTTTATGTTTTAGAGTTGGCTCCTTTTATGAAATAAAAAGCCCTCTTCCACTATCAATACCACAAATTGATGGACTTCAGCAATATGCTTATCAAAATTGGTCTGGAAGAGGAATTATCACTTATTTGCATATTATAAACCATGACTAGCATGTTGGACTGATTGCATTCCCATAAAAATATCAGATTGGGAAAAATAAGAAAAATTGTGCCAAATTAATCAAACAAATTATAATCTAGTGATATTTCCTTCCATTCCTGAGCTTGCACTAGCCTCAAAGTCCCAAGAAGGCAGATCTTTGCACTGAAAGGTGATAGAAAATGTAATGAAGGATGGGGGGGGGGGGGACAAGGAGGGACGGGAGTGAAGAGAAGCTGGAAATAACAGCAGAACAGAAAGGGAAGTGGTAAGCACAGCCCATAAACACAGAGGAGGCTTCTGTCTGAATGGATTTAAATAGCAAAGAACGTCACTCACCCCTGCAGGGTCGTAGTAATGTAAATAGGCAGGGTCTTCTCTCAGAATGAACTTTCTCACTTTCCAGTTTTTCCTCCTATGCCCCTGTAACAGGTACAACATGAAACAAAGCATGATAAGCTCCTATAATCACTCTATGCAGTTGCCTAAATGGTAAGTCTTCGCTGGACTGAAACGAAAAAAACACTGACTGCAGGAGAACCAGGTCTTGACCAAGTCTTTCTTAGGAACATAATGCTAAAGCCAGTTAATAGGTTGTATTTTACAGTATTAAATTAAATAGATGAATTAAATTATTTCTAAGCCTCTCTTGCAGATTTAGTATTATGTAAGGCAGTGTTACTATGCACCAGTACTATGCTACATTGGGCAATGGGAGGCATATAAAGTGGCTTCAAATGTGATCCTACAACTTGAGGAATTTATGATTTACATGGAAATATAAAATAGCAAGGCCCAAATCAAATAATTGGTTTCAAATGAATTAAAGGATATATAGTTGTGGGATTTGGATGTCAACCAATGTCTCATAAAGACCTACAGTGATTTATGCATGTGGGACACAGGATCTAGATGGGCAAATAGACTATAACAACACAAAAGTTGGGGTATGAATGCCCAAGCCTGAAGGCAATACTGGGGAATAAGACCAGTCTGGCTAGAGTGGAGAGGGAGCGAGGGGACGCAGAGGCAAGGTGAGGCAAGCAGACAGGGCCTCAAAAAAAGAGAAGAGAAGCAAGGAGATGGTTGGTGGCAGCTTTTGAGTAGGAAGTGAGATTACAATTCAATTTTAGATAACGATTCCAATACCCTTTTATGGTGACAAGGTGCACAATATGCCATCTGCACAGATTAAAGGAAAGCCAGGAGGAAGATAATAAAAAGGACACCCTTGAGAAATGACTGGAGTGACCTAGGCGTAAATCTATTAAGAATTCACTTTGGTAGCAGCAGTAGAAAGGGAAAGGAATTTAGCCGTGACAGAGATGGTGAAAATGCGGGTCAGGAATCTGTGGACTGTGAGTGTGAAGGGCAGGATTTGTCTCCTGTTTATTTATGTCCTCTGGTACCCAGCATAGTGCCCGGCACAGGGATGCTGCTCTGTGTATGTCAGTAATTGCTATGAATTATCAAGTTATCTCAATGAGCTTATAGAAGGTTTAAATATGTCACGGTAAGCATGATTCTACAACTTCCTGTTGAAAATTCAAATAATTTTAAATAATACCAGAAGCCAAAAATGCATTAGATTAGCAGATACATAGTTTCAAGCTTGCCAATAAAAACAATATTGTTTGTAATTTCCAAAGCACCACATATTGACATATAGATAATTCACTTTTTTTTTGTTTTCCATACGTAGAAAACAATGAATCATGTGTGGTTTTAGGAAACAGAGCTTCCATCATAAAACAAGTTCAGAGGAATTTAAAGAAGGCATTCGAGAAGGGTCCCAAGTGTCTTGGTCAAGCATTTGTCAAGAAATTCATTTCCTAAGAACCTTTTACTTGCCTGAAGGATGGAGCCAGGAGCCCTGTAGTGTCACAAAGGACAGAAAAATATTTCTATCTGCTGTATTATATGCAGAAAAGCATTTGCAATGCATGAGCTTGTAAGTCTAAATTCCTGCTCTTTGCTGATGAGACACAAACAGTAAGCTGCCACCCCACAACGCTTCCTCTTTATCTGCTGCAGACACACATGCCATGCTCTCTTACACAACTGCTGGGTGACCAGGAAAGACGGGAAATCATCAACACTGGCCAACCATTATATTCCCTTGAAGCCCTCACTGACATCACATGCTGAAGTATGTGGCTGGTAACCTTTCATTTAACGAGTGTTTCCTGATGGATTTTAAGTAAGGTATGCATGCCTGGGTTTCCCAAGAATTGTTGCTGGATTGTTAAATACCTACATATATTTAATTTAGTTTTCAAGTGCTTATTGCCTATACTGGAAAAAAAAAAGAGGGTACTGGATTCTGCTGCTGAAATAAAACATATGTAACATGTTGTCCTTTCCCTCAAGGAACCTACCTGTGGTTAAAATTAGCCAACTAGATAATTTGTTAACTATTTTAAAAAGTACAGGAGAAGGATTATAGTGAATACAATCCGAAACCATCCATCCTCAAATTTGCTCCATGTATCAAGTCCTCCAGGTGGACACAGCTACTTTCCGAAGTGAAATATGGAACACAGGAGTCCTTTTTCACAACTAACCTTTCTATACCAGTTGACTATGGTTGACTCCCAGCAGCAGACAGACAGGTAGTTTACATTTTGTAGAACTTGAAGAAAAAAAATTTTAATTCTTTCGAGTGATTCCGATACATACCAGGGTTACTAACCATTGAGCTAAGAGGTCAATGCCAATTCAAGTAAAGGGGGTTCTCTTTTACCCCCTATCATCCCCACTGCCCCCTCCCTGGCAAATGAAAGACCTATTATGAGAACCAAATCCCTGAATACTAATTCTTGCCTTTTTTATGTAAAAAGGAAGTTTATGAAAGTGACTGCCTGAATAGTTGTATTTTGAGAATAGAATAAATTTGCTTTCATGAAAAAGACTAGCTCGGTGTTTCTCAGCCTTGGCTGTGTATCAGAATCATTCAGGAACTGTGAAAATCCAGACTCTGATTTAATTGGCCTGGAGTGCAATTTTAACAGCTCCGCAGTGTATTCAAATGCACACCAACTGGCCTACCTACCTAGCTGTTCCTATCATAGGCTGGGTAAAGGAAGGCAAAAGAAAACACACAGATATGTTTACTTCTAGGCCCTGTTACCTTTAGCACGCACTCAGGCATCTGTTGGTTCAGCCAGTTTTGGACCATTCAGGTTCTCCTACTAAGTTCTTTGACCAGACATGGTGCCAGTCCAGCCCAGATGTTATCTGCCCTTCAACAACTTTCATGCTGTTTCCTAAGAGCCCCTCTCAAGCTTAGGGAGTTGGGGTGTGGGTGTGGTTTGGCAACAGAGTATATGCCTAAGATGCATAAGGTCCTGTATTTGATTCTTGGCATTGCAACTAATTAATGGATGGTAACAAGATAGAATTATAGAAGGAATCAATAAAATAAGGAAATAATAAAAGTCCTTCCCAAGTTAATCTTTTCTTAACAACCACCTGCTAGCACCTGAAATCAAAGAGTCAAGAACACAGAAATGTATCAGCACCAACATGGAAACCAGCAATGGCCAGCCTCCATCACATCCTCTCCTGTGCAAGGCGGTTTGGCTCCTAAATGTTTCCTTTAATCCAGCCAAAGTGAAGAGAAACATCTTTACCTTTTGGAAGGCATCTCAGCCATTGTGTTTCCTCCGGTCAATTAAAAGAGCTTTATTTTCCTGTGATGGACAGAAGTATTTTCCTAATTCTAGGGGCATCTTCTGCCCTGCCTGCCTCAGTCCTCCTAACCTGATGCCATTTTAATTGCCTTCTTTCATACTTTGGGGTTCATTATATGATTAATTATTAACCAAAGAAATTAAATGTCACTTGATAATTCAGATTGAAAAATAATAATAATAACCCAACCCAGTAAAGGGGAAGGCTAGAAAGGGATGGTGGTGGCCACTCACCTGCTTCAACAAACATCCCTGCTTGATAATAAGCCCCCTGAATTCTTCTTTCAGAATCACGTCATCATCACTGGAATTCTCTTCACAGAAGAACCCGCTGTCTGGCTACGGGGAGACCAAGCAGCAAGTTGAATTAACCAGTCTTAGGCCTGTTGCTACTGATGCCCACTCCCTCGTGCCCTCCCCTCCAGTGGAGGGCAGGCTCCTCCTTTCCTTTCAGGCTACTGTACTGCCCCAATTTAAACTTAAAAATTGTCCGTGGTTAGCTGGTTTCCCCTCCCCCATTTCCTTGTGTCCAGATCTTGCTCCTTGTTCACCCCCACTCAGGGGTGATGTATCCCCACCCTCTCATTTTCTAGGATTCCCCAATCCATAAGCTTAGTTTAGCTTTATTTTTCTCACGGAGTACATTTCTGCCTTCTAAGCCTCCCTTCTTCTCTCCAGATCTCATGGACGCATCCCTGAGGTGAGGGTGACTCAACGTGCGACACACTGCGTAGCATCATCTCCATCATAACCTTTGCCATTCAGCTCCTTCCTCCCTGAGAAGACGGAGGGGACATGTCCAGCCTCAACCCCTGACGTCAGGAGGGTCCTGGGACTTGCTCAGCTATAAGCCGAGTGGTGACTCATACAGAGGAAGATGACCACGGTAGTGGACATTTTGCATAAATAGCCAGATTGAAATGAATTTCAATAGCCAAATTCAAGTTCTGAACAAGAAGGAAAACCAAACAAAGACTGGCAGTGCAACTTCCCCTACAATGAAGTGAAACTCTATTTGGGACATTCACTTCATTTTTGTAAGTCAGATGGGCCTCAGTCGCTTCCTAACTTCTATATTCTGATCCAAAATAGAAGCAAAACTGCCAAAATCCCCCTGCTGCTGGAAACATAATAACCCAAGGTTAAGCTCGCATTGTGCAACACGGTGTTTCCCAGGCTCCAGGGGGAGGAGTGTCCCAGGAGGTGCCCAAGGTGACCGTAGGAAGCCATGTGCACACACGTGCTCTGCATGGGAACGCACTTAGATTGAAAAGTCACACCTGGGCTTTTCTATGGATTGCCCTCTAGAAAAGAAATTCCACAGAGGGGACAATTTTCCCCTGCCCCTCCCTGACCCCATGCTTTATCTTCCTTGTCTAACAGAGTTGTGCACTGCAGTCTAATCAATTTTTGTATATGGCTTAAAAAGAATGAAAATAGTGTTTTAAAATCAATTTAAGTTCTCACGTCAGCAGCAAATACACTAAAACCAAACGTTTTCTTTCTCCCTGGCTCTCATAGACTGGGTAGAGTTGCAGAGGAAACAACTGTCAAGTGTGGTCAGCACCAGGGTTAAAGAAGCTCTGTGACCTCCTCGAGTCTTCCTGGCTCCTTTCCCCCAGCTGACACCCAAGCCAACCCCCATCTGACAGCTCGCTGTAGGGCTGTGAGCACGTTTTCTTCTTCTTCTTCTTCCTCTTCTTCTTCTTCTTCTTCTTGCATATGGAGCTATGAACTGAAATCAACTGGGAATTTGCTCTGGGCAGTCCCACAACAAGGATAGATTGAATAGCTTTTTTTTGTTGTTCATTTTTTTGAGAAAGGGTCTCATTGTGTAGTGCAGGCTGGCCTTGAACTCCCAGTGATCATCCCACCTAAGCCTCCTAAGTGCTGATACTACAGGTATGCACCACCCCGACCTGGCAGGTAGATATTTTTTTCACTTACAAAGTAGTAGAAGGCATCAGGGTTGTCCAGGAAAGGGTTCTCAGCAATTCCATCTGCTGCATTCTTGGACAGATCCCCAGCAGGATGCAAGTACCCTTCACTGAGCAGCGAAGAGGCAATCATGAGGCCTTCCTGGCGATTCCGAACCGAGTTGTTGGATACCAACCAGTCGACAACACAGCTACCTGGACAGGACCATCAGAAGGAAGGTTAACTCCCTTCCCAAGGCACAAGCCACTGACCTGTACTCTGCACTGACTCCAGAGCTCCCAAGTTTCCAACTTGTCTCATCTTCTCTGTTATTTCAAGAAGAAAAAAATACTGGGACACATGCCCCAAAACAAAATGAGCCATATAAAAGGCTTTGAAAAACATTTACATGCTGCTTAGGAAGCATGATTAAGAAATCATTTTTACAAATGCATTTGGTTTATTAAGGAGCATTTGTTGTGCACCTACTAGACGATAAGTGCTCTGAAAATTACTGGGCAGATTCACTCAGGGAATCTTTAAGACATAGGTGATAAGTAATGTAACATCACTCTGCTGTAAGTCAATATTATGGAACTCTTTGGTCAATTCTGAATATATAAAAAGGGGAGATGGAAGAGGAGGAGACTACCACATTGTCAGGAAAAAGGTTTCTAAAGATTTATAAAGAAAGTAGCTCTGGGCTGAGATCTCAAACACAAGCAGGTGTTTGCAAGCACATGAAACAGGGGCGGAGAGTGTCCGGCCCAGGTGACGAGGCAGCAGTGTGAACAGATGCGTGCAGACGGGCAGCAGGTCATGGGCATGGGGGAGGAGGAGGAGGGAGCTGCCGAGCGGGCGGGGAGAACTGTGAAGGCACATTAAGAAATCTGGCAGAAGAGCTGCTGCACGTTTTCGAGCCGCACATAACACAGTGAGTTGTGTTTCCTGAAATAAAGTATGATGATGTTTCCTGTGTTGATGTTCATACTTCACTAGGGACCTCAAGAAATTATTTAATCAGACTTCTATGCCAAGAGAGAACAAAGGGAATACAATGAAACTGGCTCATTACTTGGTTAAACTGAAGCTTTGCAGTCACAAAAGTGTATCATTGCAATGACTGAGCCAGTCATGACACAAGTCACAGCACTGAGTAGGCTGTTCTCAAGTCTGCAGGAAGATGTTTTGGCTATTGAGCTTTCTACAAATTTCATAAATGAAAAATTTTGGGCCACTGTTCTTTCTCAGTACATAAACACTAATTAGTGCTGCATTTCTGTTTTTAATCACTTGCAGAAACCCTATATAACAGGTAAGACAGTAACTATGCACTCCACTTACAAGTGGAGAAGATTAAAACTCAGAGCGCAGATGACCTTAGGATTGCACCTCTGCTGACCCTTCCCATTTACATGTTCCCGCTCTTGAATTTGGTCTTGTTCAACTGGGCATGCTGCGGCTTACAAGACAAACTCAGCCCAGTCTCCCTGACACTTGATTTTCAAGGTCCTCTATCACATGTCAGCACTGCCCAGGTCTCAGTCTCTCAGCTCAAGCCACCTGCCTCCATGAAGGATCCACCCATGGGCTTTCGATGGAAAGGACTTAATAAGTGCTAGCTCAGTACCCTGGGACTCAGGAACACACTACGCAGGTCTCAACTCTGGGCCAGGTCTTATTCCCTGATCTACATTGCAACTTCTCCCTGTTCCCTTCGCTGGAGGCTGTCATGGTGCCCTCAGTTGGGATCCTGCCTTGCTCCTCTCAGTTTCCTTCATCACCAACCACGGCCTGGTGTTTTGATCCCAAATCTGAGCCCCCAAGCACCCGAGGCTCACGGGCTGCCGTCTGAGCAGACTGAGGCTCATCCTAATGGGATGTTGCCCCGTTAAATGCATCACATCCTCATCCCCTTCCTAACCCTGACCAGGTCTGTTTTCATGGGTCATCTGTTGATCTGACACAATCTCAGAGTCTAAATCTGTTGTATCTTCTCAGAATTTTCTTTTGACATCACTTATCACCACAAGTGAACCATATCCAGTTTCTAACAAACTACTCCCAAATTGTATGTCCCACTGTATTCTCTATAATGAACAATTAGCCCTACCAAGCTGGCGTCAGTTTCTTTTCTTAGACGCATATTCTGCACATCTCTGTCCTCACCATGTGCTGCATAGTCTCTTCATCAAAAATCTGCTCCCCAAATTGTTATGCATATTTCAGGGTCGAATTTACGTACTTTCTCCTATTCACCCAACAAACACTAACCTCTTTTCTGGATTCATGAAACCATTATGTAGACACGTAACCTCTTCCATCACAATAGCCCCTTGAGAGCTTGACCTACATAGCACTTACTGGATACAAGCACTATTCTCCACACATAATAGCAAACATACAAAGCAGGTAAACTGCAAATATCACCATTTTATGGAGAGAAAAAGTAAAGCCCAGAGAGGTTAAGTTGCTGGCCCAAGATGTTACAGCTCGCAAATTGCAGAGCCAGGATTTGAACCAAGGTAGTCTAACTCCAAAACACGTTTTAACCACACCACCTAAATCTGTAGCATGTTATGTCTTATACTGGGCTAACTGTTGTCCCCTAAGGTTGCCATTTAAATTTTATACTGTATGTCTTGATCCCTGTGTATTACAGTTAGGTAGGTCTTCTTCCCAGCTCTATATCTGCCTCTAACAACTCTCAAAATAATGTCACATATTAGGTAAAAAGCTTCCTTTGATTGATTTAGCTGAAACTTCTAAAATGTCATATTGAACAGTAAAGTTTCTTTCTATCCTGCTTTCTGTTTCCACACTAGGGAAACTCACTTCTTATGCTCACCAACCTGCATGCCATGACCCCACTCACACACCAACCTACACCCTGGAAATCCCACGCACACGGCTAATGGAGAACTCCATACCCCTCCCTAGTCACCCATTTCGGGTACCCAGGTCCTCTTACCTGTGAAGCAGTGATTAAAAATCTTCTTGTCCTTCTCTATGTTCAATTCTTTCACTCCTTTTTCAGTGTCTTTCATGGACAAATACAAGGCACTGCACAGAGATCAAAGCAGGTAGATCATTGGAGAGCATATAGGGATGGCGAGCCCTCTGAGGGACGTGACACCTTACAGAGGATGGCCTGGAGCACCAGATTCCCTGCCAGCTAACCCTTGGGCAGCTCCTCTGACTAATCTATCCACCAGACCACAAGTAGCTAAAGGGCTGCATTTATATTTGTGTAATTCTATGACGGGTAGAACGTTAGCAAAATGTAGCAGGAAGTTATTCAATGTCTCTTAAATTTATTAAGTTCTTTATTGACTTAACTTGTGGTACCTGAGATGGAGTATTGCCCTGAGTTAGATGCCAAAGATTAAAGTTTCTCAGGGTCAATTTTGCAGGTACATCCTAGATCGTTAAGGTCTCTGATATAGTTCAGATCTGGAATATCTCCCAAATGGCTATGTGTTAAAGGGTTAGTCCCCAGATTGGTGCTATTGGAAAGCAGTGAAAACTTCAAGAGGTGGGGTCTAGCCAGAGACGTGGTCACTGGTCATGAGCCCGTGAAGGGGAGTACAGTATCCTGGACTCTCTGTCCCATCCTGACCATGAGGTGAGCTGTTTTGTAATGCCATAAACTCCTGCCCATCCTCCAGGAGCCTAAAAGCAAAGGGCCCAACTGACCATGGACTGAAACCTTCAAAATCCTAAACCAAAATAAACCTTTTCTTTGTGTAAATTGCCACCTCAAGTATTTGTTCCGGTAACAGAGGGATGATTATCAAGTCCCTCAACTCTTTAAAGATCTTCAAGAGACCATCTGTTGTAGACATTTGCCTCCAAGAAAGTGAATATTTCTTCAAAGCTTATTTTTATTTTTAAAAGAAGAAAGAAGGCAAAATAGTAAGAAGTTCTAATTTTTGTCCTGTTAGAGAAATTCTAAGGCACCAAACGGAAGGCCACTTGTATTCTGTGTCCTCACGTACTCTGAGCAACACTGCCATTTAGCTGTGATGGCTCTGACCAGAAACATGATCAGCAGCTGCAGCTAGCCCAGGTGTCTCCTCTGTGGTCTTGACCACAAAGCTTTGCCATTAAGTGCACTGGACAAGCTTTCCTCCTGCAGCAGCCCGTATCTGGTGTTAATCCTGCAGAAGGTGTCTCTGGTCTCTTCTCAGGACTCTTTCCCCCTCTATCACATGTAAACAGAATTCTTCAACATTTTAAACAGCCAGCATGCGATGTTTTCCCTTGCTATCTAGATACTCTGAAGCTTGCTTGCTTGCTTAGTAGGCAGACTATGCAGTCCCTGCAGCGCTCCTGAAAGCTAGGATCATAAGTATGCCCCACCACGGGGCTTGTGTATAACATCAGACTCCTTATCTTCTCAGATCCTAGATCTTGGAGGGGTCCTAAATTGTCCAAGCCCAGAGAAACATCTTGGTCCAGCAAGTGCCAGTATGAACCAGCAGAGGGGACACAGACTTCCAGAGGTGGCTAAAACAAACCTTAGAGCATAATCTGTTGCTTTCGCTCCCTTTTAGCGGAAAGAAGGGGGAGCAGGGAGAATGGGGAAGAAAAAAGAAAACACAGAATTACCCTAAATCAACAGTTTCTGGCAGACGAATGGACCTCCTCGTGGATTTCCTTGAAAACTTCTGACCTCCTTCAATGCACTTGATGGCCTTCTTGACGTCCCGAACCCAAGCATCTCTCTCTTCCAGGTAGGCGGCCTGGAAGTACTGGTCCTGCTGTTTGGTGCTGGTGATCTTAAATACGAACTGAAAATTCAAACGCATCCCATTAGAAACTATCAGCTCAAAAGCTAAGGCCCTTCACCAACCAGAGCATTTGCCTCAAATTTGTTCTAACAAAGAGAGATGCAAACATCAGACTGTTTGGTTGCAGTGAGAGGAGCTCTTCCAGGGAACACGCTTAACTGCAGACTATGCGTGTGCTAAGAGATCAGAGTAAAACACGAGGTTCGCGGTGGCCAGTGACATCAACTCACCATCTTTTTGTTGAAGTCCTGACATGGGCTAGTCACCACGCTTCCTTTCAGGGGGATCATTCCTTTGGGGCTGTTATCACTTTTCTTTTTATAGAATTCAATTCCATCTTCTAACAGTACCACCCACATAGGTTTCCAGGTGTTAAACACATTCCCCTGTAAGGACCACAAAAACAGCTGAGACGGTCAAGGTTCTTTCTAAATCTACATTTTCTACCTAGAAGGAGATAATCTAAAATAGCTATGGCAAACCTTTTAGAGATTTCGATGATAACAGCCTGCTGCAGCACACGGGCCATAGGTTGGCCACCACTGGATTATCTCAGAGTTGGCTTTTAAAATGTTTTGTGACAAGCTGGGTGTAGTGACACATGCCTATAATGCTAGCACTGGGTGGCTGAGGCAGGAGGATTGCGAATTTAAAGCCAGCTTGAACTATAGAGTAAGACCATGTCGCCCATAAACAACAGCAACAACACAACAAAGTTTTGTGATATCATATCTATTATTTCAATATAAATTCTCTCAAAGTAATGACTTCAAGGGATACCATTTTGGTTTCTATCCCTGGCTTTTTGCATTCCATTAGAAATGATTGTTAGAACAGAGACCACTCTCTGGAATGCCCTTACACAAATGTGTCTCCTCATCTTTTCCTGAGGAATCTTTCTCCTTCTTAAAAACTTGGTGTAGCTGCCTCATTGATGAAGTCTTCCCAAAATGCTTCCATCCACCCTGTTTTAAGGGCATTTCCTGCCGTTCTTACTGACTGTGTCACGCATGCTGCCTTACATAGTCATTTCACTGTCTCCATAAGGTTGTCTTTTCTTCTCTTTAGCACTGATATCCTTAAGTCTTTTTGTAGGCTCCTGATCCTGAGGGCAACGTATCTTTATTAAAATAATGCAAAAGAAGACTATTGCGCAGATGGTGGAGGGTTAACCTGTATCACACTTGCCTGAGAAGGATGCCAAATCCTTTGTGTTGTTTACTTCCTCTGCACCCAGACCCTTTCCTGCCATCTCTGTCCTGCCCCTTCCTTCTCATGCTTGGTTCAAACCACCAAAAGCACATCCTCACCCCACTGCTACGTGCAAAAAACAGCACAAGGTTTTCTTCTCTAGCTAACTCTTACCCATGATCTTCTAGTTCATATTTCTTTGTACTCATGTTTTTAGTTTTTTAACTTCCTATTTTTAAGAGGGAAAAAATAGAATAATGACTGTTGTCAGTATTTATTGAAAGATTTCTATCATATAGTATGTTTGTCAGAATCTAAGAGAGAGTTTATTTTTCTGAAAGTGCAGGAAATTATTTTCCTAGTGCTTTTCAAACTATGATTTATAGTGCTCACTTCAACTGCACATATACAGATTTTGGTTTGTTGACCACCTGGTCTGACTCACCAAAGATGGGTATAAATAAGATCTGGTCACACCACAGTTCTGCTTTTACTTGGAAGCCCCAGACATGGTGCAAAGTGGCTCAGTCCAGACCCCTTTACTTCCTTGCTTCTAAAAAGCAGCAAGCCCTTTCGCCTCTCCTAACTTCTGTCCCCAGCCCTAAAAATAACTACTTCAGGGGTTTATTAGCACATATTAATTAAAATAATGTGGCCATGGCTTTTAAATCCTGAGATTGCACTATTAAATATCTTGACAGATGGCCATGTCTGATTGTTTTTAATGCTTCAGGTTTCTAGCACAATGCACAGCTGCTGTGTTATTCTTTCTCAAATTCCCAGAAAATGGCGGTGGACCGGTATTGCCATCACAGTGTTAATAAGGAACACATCTGAGAGTATTTATCCAGTGGCGATGCATATGAGAAAGCTGGAGACTCTGACAAATGTGTGTGAGCAAACAAGTCATCTCTCTTTAGTTTCTTTTCTGGTGCAGGGAGGTTCAGGGCTCACCCTTGGACTCGCATGCCTGCCCCAGCATTGTATGGCCAGTTTGTACTTAGAATGCTTAAAGGATTGTGATGATTTCGAGTCAGACTTTAAACCTGCATTACATTTGCGCTTCATCAGTTGTGTATATTCTTGGAGAAAACATTTAATTGCTTTTCTTTTTTATTTTTTTTCCCCTGAAACAAGGTCTCACTGCATAGTTCAGGCTGGCCTTGAACTTGCTATATAGTCTGGGTTGGCCTTGAACTCATGGCAATTCTCCTGCCTCAGCCTTCCAAGTTCTGGGAGTACAGGCACCTGCCACTGCCCCCAGCTAAAATGTTTAATTTCTGAGCCAGTTTTTAATAGAGACGTAATTGTATCTTATAGTATATTAGCAAGTATTATGTTGACATAATGAATAAGATGCATATATTCTTGTATATATGAAATCTACACATGCATTGTGCAATGTATATGCTATGCATGCATGTATTTTTAACTCATTTTACAGACAGCATGTATAACAACACTCTGTTAGTGATAAGGTGCCACCAAACTGTATGTTTCTGGAGGGAAGGAATCTACTGCAGAATGATGTTACCAAGTCTTTAGTAATTTATGGAACAAAATGGTTGTAATTTAAAATTATATTTTGAAATGATAAACAAGAATAAAGGAGGATTATCTAAATAAATGATTAATGTAAGAGTAGAAAAATAATATAACCATGTTTTCTGAAATTATTCTACACACACACATCTAGGACACTAAAAAGCATAGGTTTGCTCATTGTGGAGAGAGGTGACCCGTATTTGTATGATCAAGCTACCCAGGAAATCAGCCTTCACAAGAGATGAGGACTTTCATTTTGCTGGATTTGTTTTTTAATTACAGTACAATGTATTCACAGCCACAGTCAGCCCATAAGCTCCACACGGCCATTACCAAGGGAGCAAAGTATAGATCTCTTCTCGTTTCATATGTGTTCTCGGCTGACTTTTTAGAGGTTGTTTTATGCTCCCATAACTACCTGTTGTGTTCAATTCACTCAGGGCTGAATAGGTTCTATCCCACATGGCAATTCAGACTGTGTAACAGTGGATTCCTGAGTCTGGACAAACTGGAAAAGTCTTAATCCAATAGCTGTGTCTGCAGTGGGCACAGAGGCCACAAAGGCCAGTGTGCATACTGCATTTCTTTCCGTCCATTGGTCCATCAGATGCTCTCAAGTATGGATGCCCAGGAGAAATCCAGCCACATGTGGGTTGTGACACACACACCTATAATCCCAGCCTCCTGAGAGTCTGAGGCAGGAAGATCACAAGTTCAAGGCTGCCCTGGGCAACTTAACAGAACCCTATCTAAAAATTAAAAGGACTGGAGATGTAGCCCAACAGTAGAGAACCCCTGGGAAAATCCCAGGTATGAAGCGGGGAGGAGAAGAGAGGGATGAAGAAGGAGGAAGAGAAGGAGAAGGGTGAGAGAGGGAAAAAAGGAAGAGGAAAAGAAAGAAAAGAAAAGAAGAAACCCAGACAACAGCCTTGTGTGCTGGCGTGGCCAAGTTGTATGAAAATCACTTGTGAAATAGTCTATAATACAGAGAATGCTGCCCACATCAGTGTGAGCCTTGGGGAAAATCATTTCTGTACATAAAACATTTTCAGTTTGGATTAATATCCAATGCCCTGTTAGTACTAAATTATCCATTCTAACTAAATGAAAGAATTCTCCCTTTATGGCCTATATTTCAGGATAACTTTGAAAAAGGAAGAGTGTAAAATTCTTTGCCATGTCATGACCACCACAAAACAATTATCACTGAGTCTCCAGCAGATCCTGCTGCTTATCTCCAAATACAAAGGGCCTCTAAAAAAAGGTCCAGCTGTCCAAAAGGAAAGCTATGAAAAGAAGATAAACACTTGTGGGACTATTAGTTGCTCTCATCTAGCTATTTATTTTAGGTCTTCAAAGAATTTTTTTAACTAAGACACAGTATCATTTTTATCTGTCTGGGCAGAAAACTAATCCAAGATGACAAAGGATTATTTCCATACGTCAAAATATGGAATAATTTTAATCATATTTCTTCCTGTTTTGCATCTGAAAAAGGTTTGCACCCAGAATATAAAAAGCTTCTGCAAATCAATAAGAAAAGTACAAAAATTCAATTTTAAAATGGCAACTACAACAGTAAATTCATGCAACAGAATACAATTTAGCATTTAATGAATTGCTGGTACTTGCAACACCGTAGAAAAAATTTCATTAATGTTATATTGAGTGAAAAAAAGGTTTACAGGGTACTTATGAGTGTGACTCCATTTATATGAAGTTCAGGAATAAGCATTACTGATGAGAAGTTATGATAATGGTTACCTAGGATGGGAACACATTGTAGGAAGGGGACGGATGGACCACTATGGTATACTGGAAAGCTCGTCACCTGATCTGTGTGTTGTGCACATGAATATAAATATGTAAAAGTGCATGGAATTCTTTATATGCCTTAGTGTATGTTCTTAATTGAATAGGAACTTATCAGGCAGCTAAGCGTGACATTATTGAATCACTTGAGGTTATTCGATGTTCTAGATAGATTACTATAATCAGTGTCCAATTCCTTGGGTGTGATAAAGGTTTTTGATTATACAGAAGGACGTTCTTATTCTTAGAAGTTATATGCTGAAGTAGTCAGAGGTGAAACAGAATGATGTTAGCAATTTCCTCTCAAATGTCTCAAATTATGTGTGTGTGTGTGTGTGTGATTATATAGTGATATAGGGAGAGGTAGAAATGAAACAAATGTGTCCATTCATGTTGGTGGATGAATCTAGGTACAAGGTATGTGAGTGGTGATATTTGCTTCTCAATGGGTCTATGGATTTCAATTGTTTAAATAATTGGAAAAAATTGATAAATTCGCAACATTCAACACAATGATTTGTTAAAATTTATGATATAAGTTCAGGGAAATATATAGATAAGTCTGCTTAATTCAAATTAAAGTAACTGGAAACAAGATAAAGAAGAAATAGTCACAGTTTCAGAAATAGAAGTTTCACTACATGACTGCTAAAATCGCTCAGGCTTCAAGTTTAATATTCAACTTCAGGACCATCTAAGATTAATAACTGCCGTATCACTCAGTTTTTGGCCTTGGAGTCGGGATAAATTGATAGAGGTCCGTCAGTACTGCGTTTCTTCGATAAAAGCTTCTGCTCCCAATTACGCTTTTCCTATTCACAGATAGCCTTAGGTGCTGTCAGTTAGCTCTTAGGAGGATGTGTCAGTAGGGATTTGGGGTCATTATGCACAATAAAGAGGCTGATTCTTCATGAAACAAGATATATCTGGCCACTATGTAGCTGGAACTTTCCCCCAGGCGTGATGGTGGTCGGGTAGGGTAGGATGGTTAGAAGCTGCTGATTTCTCTGCGTCTCAGAAATTGCTGCACCAGCAACTTTTCATTCTGCCAGCTGCTCAGCTGTTCCTGTATTTTCTCCTTCTGCCCTCAACTGTCATGATTGTCCAAGAAGAAGCCTGGAATTGTGACTATAGAATATCCAAGGTAGAAAGGAATGTAGAATCATCTAATAACACTTCTGCCAACCCTAACACTGCATAGCAGTGTAACTGGAGCAAGGTTTTAAGCTTCAGTTTCTAACGTCTGGTAAAAAAGGAGATTACTAATTATATTGTAAGGTTGTGGGGAAATTAAATAAAGCAATCCATGTAAATTGCTGAAATCAAGAAACAGCACTTTGTAAGCACTCTTAAAATACGACTGATTCCCTATAAATTTATGTGTCTTAGTTGCCCTGGAGAATGACACTGAGCTCAGGGACCCTCAAAGCTGCAGATGACCTGGAGACTATTCAAAAGAGAAAGCCAATGTGGCACCATCACTGCAGGAATTATTGGAAGACTTGGCTAGGTTTAGCTCAAAAAGAGACAGAGAGTAGACCAGAATTGAAATGCCTAGAGTGTTTCAAAGCCTCACTAGGTAGAGGTTTTTAAAACACAATTTTCTACCTAACTCAGAGAAAAATAATGAGTTCCCCAACAAGAGAAGTTTTCAAGAATATTTGGTAGTAGATTAATTCAAACAATGCAGACACTGAGCCCAGCCTGGGCCATCGAGCAACATAGCATGCTCCATCTCAAAATTTTAAAAAAACATATAAAAAGAGGCAGAAATGTCAGTGTGAAGGTCCTGGGTTTAATCCCCAGTATGGGATTGAGGAATCACAGATGAGCAGTTTCTTTCAACCCACGGCATCCATTTCTACTCTGAGGTTTTACACAAAGAAACTATATCCCTTTAATTCTACATTCCTGCCGACCTGTAGGCCTCTCCTACAAATCAAAAAACATTGGTAATAAATCACAGAAGTATATATTGCATGATCATTTAAAAATTATACCCTATCTGAAATTATCCTCTTTTTCTAACTCTTAAAACTTTGCTATAACAAACGATTGTTACAACAGTTTCTAGGCTTCAGACATGACCCAGATATTGGGAGCATAAAAACTGAATAGATCCAGTCTCTGCTCTCACAGTTCGGAGCCTAACTGAGGAGATTTGTCCAGCTCAGTGTGACAAATGCCCAAATTAAAGTGCTTTCCCGTGTATTTTCAGCTTTGCTGAGAGAAGACACAACCGATGGCTGAGGTCACAGTTGGGCCAGCTGGAGTTTTGTGTTGTCACCCCACCCAAAGAGTGAAGACACCTCTTTTGACTTCCCCTTCCCCAAGAACTTCTCTTTTCTTATGCTGATATATAACTAGAATTCAAAGGAAAATCACATTATGAACAAAACTATGTAACTAAAGCAGAACTGTGAGTCATTATTAGCTATTTTCTCACACTCCTGGGACATTCACTTTAAATTGACACTAGTTTGGGCCAGGAATACAGCTCAGCCTGGCAAGTGTGAGGTTATGAGTTCAATCCCCACTACACTCCCTCCCCCCCAAAATTGACACTGCTTAGATTAAGCCCTGCCTTCTGTTGCACTGTGGGATTTTTTGTTTTATTTTGTTTTGTTTTTTGGTCCCAGGGATTGAACTCACAGTCTCACACTTGCCAGGAAGGTGCTTGTGCCACTGAGCTTTTTTGCTCGGTGTGCGTGATTTAGCATAGTGTGCACTTTCCTACTTACATAATATACAAATGGTTGCACCTTGTGTTGCTTTGAAAGCAAGTACATTCCTCTATTTAGCAGAAATCATTTACATATATAAACTTGTACAGGTTGAATAATTTTCCAATAAAACCCATTAAATAACCAGTACAGAAATGGTACACTGCTAGAGTGATTTCCGGACCTTAGTTCACATCTAACATTGCCTCTTTCGGATTCTACTATCACAAATCATTTAGGGAAACTACTGAATTTCTCTAAACCCTTGTGTCCTCATCTATAAAATGAAGATAAAGTACTCACTACTTCCCATTATAAAGTTTAAAGAACATTGATTATATATTTTAAGGACTTAGTACAGTTGCCAACTTATAGGAGGGGCTTGAAGATCTTAGCTTCCACATTAAGAAAGGGAAAATTTCTGAAACAAACATATTTAAAATGCCACATTGGAGCTCTGGGGCTGTAGCCCAGTGGCCCAGGGCTTGCCTATCATGTGTAAGGCCCTGAGTTTGACCCACAGCAGGGGGGGGAAAATTGTTTAAACAAAAACAAATACCAAAATTGAGAATCTTATAACAACATAGAATTTCAAATGGCCCCAGACAAAATGCAAATAATATGGAAACATAAAATAATATCATAAACATAAAATATAATTATGGAAGATACAATGTGTGAAAATTTCAATAGGAAAGTTTACTGTTTTATCCTAGGCACAATTTCTAGATTGGCATCCACAGAGCATAATCTGAAAGAATTACTCTCACTAAAAACTTTTTACTAATTTAAAATCCACATGCTTGACAACCCTGGCTCTATTACTTCTATTTTCTGGTGAAACAATGCCACTTAGTATAGATTGACATTTACATTCTACATTTTTGTATTTGGGTAAATTTATAATATGAGCATACAAATTCTGTAACAACAACTTAATTGCAAAGTGTTTTTGGTTGTCTAAAGAACAAAAATAAGCAAAACTTCACAGAAAATATTTCCACTCACTTGTTTTTCTCAGATACGAGCCTGAAATCAGTCAACACTAATCATTATTGGTTCTTTTGGAAAGTATTTTTGCCTATTGCAAAGAATGTGTACATACACCTCTGTGTGTGCACGTGTGGCTTTTGCAAAGGATATTTCAAACTATGACTGGTGAGCAGAACAGCAGAGGGGACATAGCTATACCATCACAAATATACTGCAAACACTACCTCAGAGTAAATTTGCTTTAGGAAAATTCTGGTATAAAAAAGCTCAGCACCGTGAGTCAGAAACCCAGGAGTCAGAAAGGGTCTTTTTGGTCCCAACTCTGTCACAGACATGTGACCTTGATTTTCAGGCTACTCTAAGATCCAAGTTCTCAAGTGAGGGAGTTAGGGCATAGTCAAAGATCCCTTCTCGTCTGAAATAAAAACAGAAATAGTCTGCATTGTGTACTGTTTAATCCTCTTAAGAGTAAAACATTTGAGGCTGGATTGAGAAACAAATGAATGCCCTAAAGCAGAGTTACATGAGATGATCGTTCAGTTAAAAGCGAGGCCCCAGGAAGAAGGTACTGAACTCGGTTCATTTCTGAAATGCTGAGCTCATATGTGTAGGGTTAGCATGCTGTGTATAGAGGTGCCACACACAGGATACCACCACGCCCTATGTGTCAGTTCACCAGGCTGGGAAGTTTCACAACTCAGAACACACCCCGTGTGAAAAGAAAGACCAATCGCCTTGACCACATTCAATTTTCCAGAGGCCACATCAGTAAGACTAACCCTATTTTTAGTAACCTGGGTCTCTGTTTCCTAATCTTTAAAATGGTGCACCCACCAACTTGCCAGTCGGTTACACAAATCCACCAAGAGTTGTGAATGAAGAGATTACAGCTTATCTTTAAAAAACAGGAAATATTTGGTGTGCATCAATTTTAAGAAGGTAGCCCAAGAAATGAGCTGTCATGTCATGTCATGATATAAACTCATCTTTAATCACTTTCTTCTCCCCTCTCCATCCCCAAAAGAACTCTGAGGGAGAAAAATTTAAATAACAAATGAAGAGCTTCCCCAAGTAACTTCTGCATCTCAAGCACTGCATCTCAAGCATGGGTGGCAGAACACCCATGTGGTTCTTAAAACTGATGTTCTAAATTATGAGGTAGTTAACCAGGGGCCCTATCTTCCAGACTCTGCCATGTAGAATTCTTAGACCCATTAGATAAAACTGTACCAACTAGATTAAGCCACTTTTAAGAAACAGAGGGCAACGGAGTATGTGCTGATCACCCCCTACCCCAACACTACCCTGTGATACTCTCCCGTTTCAACCCAATAGGTCCTGCTCCAAACATTCCTAAAAGAAAGGGGCAGATTTCAGTATGGAAATTCCTCAAAAAACTAGTATTAGAAGTCCCATTTGACCCAATTATTCCCCTTCTGGGTATCTTCTTGGAAGAATTAAAAACATCATACCACAGTGATATATGCACACCCATGTCTACAGCAGCAAAGCTTGTAATAGATAGATAGTGAAAACAACCCAAACAACCATTAACCAAGGAACGAATAAAAAAATGGGTTTTTAATATATAATGAAGTACTACTCAGCCATAAAGAAGGATAAATTTCAGGTAAATATATGCAACTTGAAAATGTACTCTTAAGTAAAATAAATCAAACTCACATGTGCAAACCTCGAATTATCTCCCTGGTGTGAGAAACTGAAAGAATAAATAAGGACAAAAATGTACAACAGAGACTGTGAAACAGAAAGATATTTTTGTTCAAAAGGAAAGAATTAGAGAGGGAAAAGGGAAAGAGAAGAAAATGAGAGAATGATTCTTTAAAAGGTTAAAAAGGAAACAAAGCTTTGTAAATAGGGAGGGGAAGGTGGGTTGAAGGGAGGAGAGGGGATTGAGAAACAAAGAAACCAAAATATATCACGTATAGGTACAGATTCCCTATGATGAATATGATCATTATGTGTATCTAAAATGGACCAATAAACCTAGTTATTAAAAAATGGGGTAGCGTGAAAAGCTGGACATGCAGCCTCTGCTAAACTGTCCCCCGGGTCCGCGGCCCTCCTCCTTACCTTCTTCACGAGGTAGCCCTCCCTGATCCTCTTCGGCTCCATGTCTGATGGGAAGACCGACAGGCCCGCTCGCAGAGGAGTCCTCTCAGCTCGCCCTCCGACAGCTCAGGTTGTGGGCTGCCCTTTTTACAGCGAGGCGTCTTTCACAATTTCCCTTCTGCGAGCGATCTCATGATCACATCCTCTTCCCCTCAGTGGGGTGGCAGACCAGAATAAGGAACTGCAGAGTCACACAGCCCATGCTTTGCTAATGTGGGAGATATTAAAAGTACAATCTTGTTCAATATTTAATCAGGGTAATTTGTTTTCTGTTCTGGGGATGGAAGCCAGGACTTCTCACCGAGCTATATCCAGATTTTGTTTGTTTGTTTTCAATTTGAGACAGCCTTGCTAAGTCATAAATTAGCCAGGCTGGACTTGAACTTGTGATCTAACTGCCTCTGTTTCCCAGTGCTGAGATTACGGGCAGGCACCACTACACCCCATTCCCAGGCCTTGTTTACAAGTTTAATTCTGAGACAGGGTCTTGCCAAGTTATCCAGAGTGGGTTCAAACTTATTTTTCTTCCGTCTCAGCCTCCCAAGTAATTGAGAGCACAGATGTGCCCCACCACACCAGACTCAAAATTTTATTACCAGGAAGAAAACAATTCTCCTAGAGAGAAGAAAAGAAAAAAAATGACAACACAAATAAGAAAAACCTTATTGGAAATTGTTCTGCCTAGAAATTATTCTTGAGATCCTAAAAATGCTTGGTTAGAATTGTCAAAAAATGTAAATCCACCTGAGTAGCATAACAAAGTACCTACATGCAAGCAAATGTCTCCTTCTGTGCCCTGCACTGTCCCGTGCATTGTTCAGTCTACCATGTTTAATTAGTCCTGCCAGAAACTAAAGAGAAAATGTCCCCATATTAGCGATAAAGAAATGCAGTCTCAGAGAGGACAGTTGTCTCAAGGCAACACAGCAGATAAAAGGTGACACATGATGCCAGGGAGGAACCAGGGCGGTCCTGCCTCCCACGGGGCATGAGACAGTGTCTGGCATGGAACACTCATCCACCACAGAGCTACAAAAAGGCGTCCACAATCAAACATGTTTGAAGAACTGTTTTGTATAATCTCCGCTTGGCACCTCTCCTGACAGGGTAACAAAAACTGAGCATTGAAGCAAACACTCCTCTGGTAGTGACTCCCAACGTAGTCTGAACACAGAAATCTTCAGGGAACAAATTTTAATGGCACATCCTTGTAATCCCAGCTCTCTGGGAAGGAAGCGGAGGCAGGAGGATGGAAATTTTCTAGCCCAGCCTTGGAAATTTAGTGAACTCTGTCTCAGAAAGAAACAGCAAGAGGGGTAGATAAACATGGGTCCCAATCCCTGTTATCACCAAAAAATAACAATAGCTGAATAAATTCTAGTAACATTTTGGTAAGTGGATTGAATTATGTCTTTTTAAAGAACAGTCCTAACCACCCAATACCTCCGAGACATATTCAGAAATAAGGCAAATAGATAGATGCAAATCGTTAAGTGAAAATGAGGCCAAACAGCAGCAGGTCAGCCTTAGCCCATGACGCTGCTCCTCATTAGAAAAGCAGAGACCCTCGGAACAAGCGACCTCGTCGTGACAGATGCATGAAGTTACAGCCCAAGAGATGCCAAGGATCCCCAGTGCCAACCAGAAGCTGGGAGGGTTCTTTCTTAGAGCTACCAGTGTGGTGAGAAAATAAATTTCTGTTACTTTTAAGTCCCCCAGTTTGTAGTGATTTATTTTAGCAGACCCTAGAAGGTTAGTTAAATTTTGTAAAATTTGATATTCTATAGGACAAACTTTTCCTGTGTGTGCAACACTGGGGATTAAACTCAAGGCTCTGGCACTGAGCTACATATGATTTAAAAAAAAATTTTTTTTTGAGATAGGGTCTCGCTGTGTAGTTCAGGATGGCTTGAAATCACTGTGTAGCCCAGGCTGGCCTCAAATTTATAGTGATCCTCTTTCCCCAGCCTCCCAAGTGCTGGAATTTTAGGTGTGTACACCAGGCCAAAGAACTAATAACCAGATCTTGTGAAATGAGCATTATTTAATCACTCTGTGCCTCAGTGTTCTCATCTGTTAAATGGACATAATAGCACCTATTCAATGGGGTCATTCTGAAGATTAGATAAGAGACTATAAGTTTAGAACAGCACCTGGAACATAGCAAATGTCTATAAATGTTGGTTATTCTTCATTTTCAAGGCAAGTTTCCATGAACCCTGGCTAATCCTCTTCCATGGAAACTGGAAACAGTGACAAGACTGGGTTTCTGATTAGTTCCTTTTCCTCATCACCAGTCAATGTTCTCTAAATGATGACATTGACAGAATGATGTAATCAACGGAAACGAATTCATGCTAATACAGAGAAACGGGGATTTTTCCGGAAGAAAACAGGGTTCATGGACTTCAAGGAAAAAGAAAGGCTAAGGTCTCCAGAAAGACAGGGACCAGGGCAGCTGTAGGTTCCAGAAATCCAGAACTGAGAGACTGCCCCTTAGGGGCATCGTGACGAAAACATCCCTGTGGTTTTCAGGCCCGATGGCCCCATCAGGCCTCTCAGGCATCTGCAGGTGCAGCATGGGCGCTGACGGCTGCAGCAACCAGGCTCACCGGGGCAGTGTTGCCCCAAAGTAATGCCTGGATGCTATCGAGTAGCAGAAACAGAGTCAAAGCTGCTTTCCCCAGGTGAGCAGGAAACACCCACAAAGACATCTGAGGAGCCAGGGAAGTTAGCGAAGGAAGGTCTGTTCTGTCCTGAGGTTCTCTGAGCGCCTACTGATATGCTGCCTGCCTTCCTTCCAGCTGGGCTCTAATTAGCACTCACCACTGAGCTTTCCTTTTACCCTAATCCAGATTACATCCAAGTATCGATGGCTCGCTCGCCAACCAGTCCTCACTGCACTGAAACTAATTAGAAAGAATTAAGAACTCCTGGGGTGAAAGTGGTCCACCTGGATGGCACCTGAGCAAAGCAGAAACACGGGGCGAGTTGTGTATTTTGCTGGGCTCTACAAGAATGGAGGGCTGGGGATTTAGCTCAGTGGCATAAGCGCCTGCCTTGCAAGTGCACGGTCCTGAGTTTGTATCCCTGGTACCAATAAAGAATATATAAAGAATGGAAACTGTTCATGACTCTACCATAGTGCCATTTCATAGCTAAACTTACCATTTCTTTTCGAGTGTGTGTGGTGGGGTTGGTTGTTTTGTTTCATTCTGTTTTGTTTTTGAGACAAGGTCTTGCCATGTAGCTCAGCTGGCCTTGCACTCACTGTGTAGCTCAGGCTGACCTCGAATTTGCAGCAATCTTCCTGCTCCACCTCCCAAGTGCTGGGATGACAGGTGTGCGCCACCACATCGGGCACTATATCTCTTTTTGTTTAACTGACCAGACCTAATTTGGTATGTTTTCTCCCTTTGTCCTAGTATGATCAGGAGGCTGTAAAGACCATTCAGACAGAAATGTCATGTGCTTTTGGTTTGTTGTTGATGCCCACAGAAGAAGTAGTCCCTGCTTTCTGAATGGCGGTTGCTGTGGCGTACTGTAGTGGTTACTGCAGGAGTAAAACTGTCCTGCCACCACCAAATTTTCCAAGTGTATGAACTGAATGAACCACGCACAGGTTAGATGTGAACTCGGCTGCCCCTCCCCATGCAGCCAAAGCTCCTCACCACTGCTTAGCAACACCTAGTGGCCAGCGAAGGGAACAGGCTGAACCACGGTCATCGCTTACAACTTTCTCAACAGAGTGTGAGCAAATGTTCTGAGTCAGATTCCTTCCTAAGTCAGATGATTAGAAACTGCCAATACCTTTTTTATGTCTATATGTTCAAGGTTATTTTTAAAAATCTTATTCCGTCTTCCTTTGAATTTTCCCATATTTGATGAACCACTTTGGAAAGACTTCTGTAGTACCTTTTTTTGGAGTAAGCAAGAGCTAAGACTTAGGAAACAAGATTATTGTATATAATAGGAAAACTATATATCGTTTACAGCAAATATTTCTGGGTTGTCTCTTTCTATGGCTTTTGTGCCTTTTCTTGTCCGGAGTCATTTTACAACTCTACGCTGTGGAAAGCTGACAGCAATGCAAATAATTCTTGCAAGAATAGAAACTCTGTTCAATAGATTTCATCCTCCAGTCTCTTCCCGTGGAAAAAGTCAAAGTTTTTTGTCTATTTTTAAGAAGACTTCAGGATTCTTTCACTCCATATAAATTTATCTTTGACCTCTTTCTGAATGAGTTGTGATGTCTGACTCGTTCCGTTTTCATGAGTTAATTAAAACTTTGGAATGTTTTTATTATATTTTATTCCTTTTTAAAATTTAGTTTTCAGCACTGATAACTCAAAAGGATCTAAAGTTAGCTGATAAAGATCAGAATACTGGCAGTGATAAGCCTAAGTTAAGAGAAAAATGTCTAAATAAGTAAAATCTAGGATTTTACCCAATTGCAAAAGAGCAACTCCACAGAGGCTGACAGGAGACTGAAGGCTTCGGGGCTTTTTGATGAGACAAGGACAGTCCTCACAACACAGTAAACAGAGCTGCACGCTTGCCCTGGGCTCTGCTTGCACGAGTGCTGTTCAGATCAGACGCTGCAAACAGAGGGTTTGCATCCCAGTCAAGGAGCCTTGAGCTTAGGAAACCTGGGTCTTGTAGAATGGGCTGCAAAGAAACTGCAGGAACTTTGCCTCTGAGGGAGACATTGCATACTTGACAGTAAACAAATCTGTCCTTTGTTCTGGAATGAGACCATGTCTCTAGCTTCATTTTGCAGACATCCAGAAGACAGTGCTCCTGCATGCAAGTGTTACAGACAGAGAGATCAGGGGAGAATTACCTCCAGAGAAAGGGAACCCTGAACTGTCTCACTGAAACCCATGGCAGGATATCTGGCTGGTGCCCAGGGGGCCTGCAGGTCAAGATGGGTGCTGACCCACATACTGAGTAACCACTTTCAAAGGGACACACAAATTCATGTGGAAATTACTACATATTTTATATGCATATAATGATTACTGATAATACTATGTACATAAAAATGTGAATATATACATACTTGCTTCAAATAAAGCATGTTCATATATATACGAATGGCCTGTCTTACCTGAAAGGACCTGTTGTGACATTCTAGTAGCAAAAAGCTGTCTTGGCTCTCAGAACATAATTTTCAGTAAGAGGAACTCAAGATCCTTGGAGAGATGAATGATTCTAGGATCGTAGCAGAATATATACAAGGTGACTCTGGAGCATTTTGTAGTCCAGAAAGTAAAGAAGTGCAAAAAATTGTTTTACATTAAGAAATAAATAAACTGGGCTGGGGATTTAGCTCAGCAGCATAAGCACCTGCCTTGCAAGCGCAGGGTCGTGAGTTCAATCCCCGGTACCGATATAAAAAAAAAAAAGAAAGAAAGAAACTAAGTATGGTGACACATACCTGTAATCCTATCACTCTGAGAGGCTAAGGCAGGGGGTCACAAGTTCGAGGCTAGCATGGGCAGCTTAGCAACATGAGCAAGATCCTGTCTCAAATTAAAAAGAAAAAATGACTTGGAATACAGCTCAATATGAAGGCCTTAGTTTCAATCCTCAGGACCCCAAAAGAGAGAAAAACAAAGAGTAAAGAAAGAAAGAAAAAAGCCACAGTGATACGTTATTAAAAAGGGACACAGGAGTCAAATGAAAGAGCACAAATAGTCAAGCTGGAACAATTTGAACAGTAAACATAAAAGAGTAAAGTCAGCCCCCACACCATGAGTTCTACATCGGCAGATTCAATCAACCATGAATTGGAAACATTCTGAAGAAATACATCTGCCTGAAAATATACAGCCTTTGTCACCATCATCACTTCCTAAATCATACACTATATCAACCATTTGTGTGGCATTTACACTATAGTCTGTATTGTAGGTAATTTAGAGATAATTGCAAGTATACAGGAGGATGTGCATATAGGTTAAATGCAAATTCTGTAGCATTTTACATAAGGTAAGTGAGTATCCTGAAACCAGACTTTTGAGGATACCAAAGTATAAAAATATTGGAATATACCCCAACATATAAAATAAATAAATGGAATAAATGAATAGAATAAATGCATCCATTTCAAGAATAATTTGTATATATACTACCCTTCAGGATATCAATTAGAAACCCTCACTTCACAGCTGGGTGTGGTGGTGCACATCTGTAATCTCCGCAGCTGGGAGGCTGAGGCAAGAGGATAGCCTTGAGTTGGAGGCCAGCTTGGGGTACACTATGAGTTCGTGGCCGCCTAGAGCCATCCCCATGAGGTCTTGCCTGACTGGCTCTTCCCCTAACTAGCACCAGCCTCTAGAATGAGTTACAGCAGATGACCTATGTACACGACGGTCCTTATTTCTCCAGTTGTTGTCCTTGGACGCCATCCTCTTTAAGCCAACCAAAGCAAGCATCCCTTAAAGCATCTGCTTCCAGTTCCAGAATCCAAACACTCAGCCTCCAGCTCTGGGGCTGCAGGTTTGCCCCGGTGCATTTCTTTCACCTCTGTCCTGGTGAGAACGTCTTGTTCACAGTCACTCCTCTTTAACCCTTTTGGAGCACCTCAAACTCTCCCTCTCTTAGTCACTTTCTAGTTGCAGGGACTCAAGAGCTGACACCAATGAGTGCAAGGAAGAGCAGTTAATTTGGGCTCATGTTTTTAGGTCATAGCTGACTGGTTCCAAGACAAGGAGGCCTGGTGGAAGGACCTGGGCAGAGGAAATCTCCTCACCTCATGGAACCCAGAAAACAGTGAGAGGGGAGTCAAGCAGGGAGGTGCACCCTTCCAACTCACAACCCCTGCAATCCACCTCTTCCAACCAGATCCACCCTCCAAAGTCACACTTAGCTATAGCACCCCCATGGTTCTGTCACCTTTCAAAAGCCACACCTATGAGGGCATAAGGCTTTGGGGGAACATCTGATATAAACCATAACACCCCCTAGACATCCCCGTTCACATGGTTTGAAAGTAGAGTGTGTTTTTCTCTCTTGAGTAAGAAGTGGGGGTGTGGGGAACACACTGGGCCAAGCACTAAGGAAATCCTCTCCCAATCTTCCCAGTCTCAGTGTGCACAAGGAGCCTGGTGATTCACAGACACCAGTGGAAACCATCTACCATTTCAGCAAGTCTCATGGAAACAATGAATGATCTCACATGGTCAGCAAGCTACAGCCTACAGGTCACACACTCCTCCTCCCCCGTTTTAGTAAAGCCCATCAGCTAAGGGTGATTTTCTATTTTTAAATGACTTTTAAAATCAAAAGAAGAATGATATTCTGTGACACATGAAAAATGCCTGAACTTCACATTGCATTGACATAAATAGTTTCCATCAGAACACAAACACTGTATTCATCTCTAGATTGTCTATGGCCACTTTCACAGTACCACAGCAGTCATGTGGTTCTGACTGAGATTATGACCCATGCCTTTTACAGAAAATGTATGCTAAGCTCTGGTTTAGAATTTTCCTTTGAGAAAAAAGTATTTGATAATTTGATAACAGCGAGTGTCTTTCTCCCTTTGGAGCCTCTGTCAAAGCTTTACAATCTGATTATCATGTGGCTACAATTTCGATAGTTCAAAAGCAGAGAAAATGGAAGTTACAGAAAATCAGTTCTGGGAATCAGAAAACTAGCTATAAATTTTTTCCAGACTCACAGCTAATCTTTCATATAGAATTCAGAAATGTATCAATAAGTATTTGAGGACTTGGAAAGCTTTTATCAGAAAAAAAAAAGAAAAAGAAAAGAGACTTGATAAAGTATATGAGCTAACCAAAAAATAATGAAAATATCCCTAGTCATTTGTAGGAAAGAACATGTCTTGGTTACTTTTCTCTCATTGCTGGGACATAATACCTGATGCTCAATATTAAGGAAGGAAAGGTTTATTCAGCTCACAGTGTATGGAGGTTTCAGTCCATAATCAGCTGGCTCCAAGGCAGAGTGGTGTGTCAGAAGGCAATGGTTCATTGCAGCGGAAGACCACAAAAGCAACAAGTGTTAAAGGGGAGGGGCACAGAGAGAAGACTCGTTCTGCCCCTTATATTGTACAAAGATCACACCCATTAGGGTGGGTGTGGAATTCACACTCATAATTCTAGCTCTGGACCATAAGTCAGTCATAAACCCTACAAACCTGCCCCATGAATACATGATGTTTTGAGGGCACATTCAGACACAAACTATAACAGGACATCAATGAGAAGCCCAGTGTGTGAACTATGCCAAAAATACATATATTCAGTCTGTTATGGAAGACTTATATCCCTACTCCCTCCATCCACTGACTGTCCCCACTCCTGCTCTGGTGGGAGATGACAAGCTTAGTTTAGGGAGCAATGGTTCTCAAACATCTTTGGTCTCAAGACCGCTTTATACTCTTAAAGTTCACTGAGGACCCCAAAGAGCTTTGGTTTATGTTCTATTTATTAACATATACCAAGTAGGAATTTAAAACTGAGAAATGAAAACTACTTACTTATTTTTAAATAAGTGAATATTAACACAGGTAACATTTTAATGAAAAATATTTTATAAATAAAATAGGTATATCAGTCAGTGTTTACTAGAGAAATAGACCTAATGCAATATTTACAAGATAGCTTACAATGGCCACCCACAGAGTTGGGTGCAGAAGAATGCAGAGTCTGTTTACGTGCTGGAGCTCCAAAGAACCCAGTCAAAGGCCTGGAGCTCAGAGTCGTGTCCTGCGCAAATCAGTAACAGGAGGCTGAAGGGTCAGGGATGGAAGCCAGGAGACAACATCCAAGGCAAAACTCGAGCCCGTTGGAAGAAACAGAAGCAATCCTTCCTTCTTTGGTTCCCTTTTGTACTATTCTGATGACAGTCCTGCTTAGGGTGGGCCTTCCACACCCAGAACTGTGCTGATCCATTTTAGTTGGGTGTTTCTCACTCAAGTGGACCCAGTCAGTTAACTATCACAATCGGTAATGTGCTCAGACTGCCTGGCACATAGTAAGTAATGAGTCAACATTAACATTTGCATTTAGTAGTTTGTGGTTTAAAAATTTTCACCATTGTCTCTCAGATATTTTAGGTTATACAAATATTTTAAATCTTTTCCACACTCTCCTACTCTTTTTCTTTTTTGAAGGTAGTAAAACAAAACAAGAAGACAGAACAAAGCCAATCAAGACAATGCAGCGAACTTGGTACAGAACCTCTCGGCAGGTTACCGGGATAACAGTAGGATAACAGTAAGACGTACCATAGTATATCTCATTATCTTCACATAAAATTTTGTTGTTGTTATTGTTGTCTTAGTTACTTTTTACTGAGACAAAATACCTGAAGCCCAAGTTGGGAAAGGAAAGGTTTATTTCTTACAGTTTTTGGAGGTTTCAGTCCACACTCAGTTGGCTCCAAGGCAGGCAGGCATGGCTGGACCACAGGTCATGGCGGCTGCAAACAGCAAGCAGGAACCAGCAAAGAGCAGGACACACCTTCTTCCTGCCATTACATCACATCCTGGCTCCACCCCTAGGCCGGTGTAGCATTCACACCCCCAATCCAAGCACTAGACAATGAACCAATCACAAATGCACAATGCAAATGCATGAGGCCTGGGGGCCACCAACATACACCATGACATTCTACCCTTGGCCCCCAGGACTCATGTACCTCCTTCATACAAAAGACATTTAGTCTGCCTCCAAAAGTTGCCAAAGTCCTTAGTTTCAGCATTGCTAAAAAGTTCAAGTCCCAAGTCTCCTCCAAGATCTATGGCAAACGCTTTTAACTGTAACCCCCTGTACAAATGAAACAAGGTTAAACATTTCTGAAATACAAAGGCATAAGATAAACATTCCAAAAGTTACAAACAGGAGAATATAAAGCATTGGAAACAAAGCAAATCCAACATCCAGCAGGATGAACATTAAGTCCTAGAGTTCCACGCTCAGCATCTGAAGCAATCTGGTTGCAAGCTCCAAAAGGCTTGGGTGATTCCACCCCCAGGGCACTTCCAGGGATTTCAGCTCCCTGCAGCTTCTCTCTTAAATCCTCTCTGCTTGCTTTTTGCAGCTTTCCTTGGATCACCCACATTCCTGGCTTTTCCAAACTTCTGGGGTCTCCACTGTACCTTTGGCTTCACCCTTACATCTTCACAAATTGCCCTCTCAGGGGCACACTGCTTGGCTTCCCAGGCCCTTTGCAATTGAGGTGGAAGCTGTCTTACCCTCAGAATTTGTGCATTTTCCTTGCACCTAAAATCAGCACCTTGTGGGTGCTGCCAAAGTCTGCTGCCAGCTGAAGCAGTAGCTAAGCTTTTCTCTCTCTTGGCTGTAAGAGTCAGTTGCCTGGATTGCAGGGCTCTGTTTACCTGATTGTGATGAAAAGCTTCTCTGTGTTGCCACCATTCTGGAAACTCACGTGGCCTCTGTCGCCATTCTGGAACTTCACATGGCCTCTGTCACCATTCTGGAACATGGTGCTCTGCAGCTTTCTCCTCTGAGAAAATTCTTTCACCCTT